GCTCTACCTCAATTACTTAAATAAAAATAATTAAAATGGGAATACAGTACATACATTTAACAAATTTACATTAAATATGAAATATTGAATATTTTTGCAATATTTGATGTTAACAAATAATAAATTACCAAGTAAATAATATGTTGCCAGTCTTTAATACATTTCTCAATCAAAGAACTTAAGAGTTAAAATGAAAATATGAAATCTAATAAAAACAGATAAAATATGTAAATGATATTCTATAAACTAGTTCACCAAATTAACAATTTAAACAAAAAAATGAATATGACAGATAAAAGCTTTTGTATTAGAAATACATGCAACAATGATAATAAAGTGAAACTAAAAAATTAACATGGTTATAAAGCATTTTCATTAAATTTTTTTTGAAAAACTTAGAAATTATAATAAAGATTTTGCTTACTGAAAATTAGTCTAATAGAGTAAATTGACATAATCATAATCAAATTCCAGTGGTAAATTAATTAAAAATTTTCAACATTAGCAATAATATTAACCAACTAGCTGTGCCTGCAGTTTCGCCCACATAAAATTCAGTTTCTGACTATAACAGTATCAGTTAGATCAGTGGTTCTCAACCTTTTTTGTTGATGTACCCTATTAGCCCATTAGTTGTTTCTCAAGTACCCCTTATATTTTTGTATGTAAATTTTATAATTACTGCGTTAGATGTATACAGCCCTTATAACTGAGCGCCATAAAAAAACTAACTAACTATAACTAAAAGTGAATTACTTATTTTATGTAAATAATAATAAATTTAATCAGGTACATTTATTATTATTTGATAAATATATTATATAAAATCACAGAAATCATTTTAATACATGCATAAATTACATTTCCTAAAAATAAATAATTATAATTAACAATAAAGAAAATTTAAATTATTCTACAATAATTTCTAACAAAATTTAATGAGATATTTGTTGTGATAAATCTTCAGCAATTTTTACAAAATTTGGTTCCCACGTTGTTAAATAGAGATTATAATTGTGTATTGACCTTGAAAGTAATGGCTGCAAATTTATAATGTGCAGAACAATACATGAATCTTTCAATTTTTGTAGCAAATATAACGTCTAAATTTGCTAAATATCAAGTAATGCGCGCATGCAGTGACACGCATTGCACGATGGGGTACGATCCAGGCCTCGTTATTCCTAATACCAGTAATCCAGTAAAAACACGAAAAGCCCCAATCTTATCAATCAATAATTATAGAATAGAAAAAAAAATTTGTTTTTCTATTCTAAAATTAATGCTCGGTTAAACCATAATTTTACTAGACTATAAGTTCACTTGGCACTAACGACACAAATAGACAAGCAAATCAAGTAGATAAACAAGTTGTTTAGACTGTTAAAAGGGAAATCGGTGTTCACATTCGGATATTTTAAAGCAAGTTTTTGTCGTTTCTTGTTTCTTGTGTTAATAATTTACAGCAAATTGATTAACATATACCATTTTATAATGAAAATTAGATGTACCCCTTCGATTTATGCTCATACCCCTAGGAGTACATGTACCCCCATTTGAGAATCACCGAGTTAGATGATATCTTTTAATTTATATGAATGTTTTAGGAACACATATGGGACAAAAGATATTCTTAATTTTAAGTGACAACAAATAGGCAAATATTCAGGACATGTTCGGACATGTGCACTGCATATCTCGCTGACCACGCGACTGCACCGCACGGTTACCTATCTCGTATACGTTTGCATCTTGCCACCTGCTGACACCAAAAATATAATGCTTACCTAGAGGATATCTTTTAATTTATATGAATGTTTATCGGAATAATATACAGCCTATGTCCACTCTGAACATCCATTCTAAATATTGATGAAAGAATTTTTCAAATCAGATGAGTAATTTCAGAGATTACCTCTTACATCCAAACTTACAAACTTTATCTCTTTTTAATATTAGTATAGCTTAATAAATACACTTTGTTATGTTAATTAATAAATACAATTAATATATTAATAAATTTTGTTCTTATTCTAAATACATTCTATTTCATCTGAAGATTACATTTGTAAAATGTTGAAAGTACTTTATACATTTGGATTAAACTAAATTAATGCTGTGATAGTGCATATTCATTAATTGTTGTAATTTTGTGTCAAGGGTGTTAATAAGTTTTATTAATATTAATCAATAAAAAAAGCAGAACATAAATAAATCTTAACTTAATGAAACTGATATTACATATACAATTTACTAAATATGTAATATATTTTCTATTTTGTTTTCTATGTCTCATGGTAACAGAATGTTTAAAATTTTCTAATAAATTTTTTGTAATATTAATAATTTATGTAAAAAAATGCATCAATGAGTTGCTTAACTTTCCCAGCTTTAAAACTACATGTGGCATCATTTGTTATATTTCATTAAAAAGTTTTTATATTTTTAATTAGTAAAAAAAGGCAAAAAGCTTAATTTTGAGAGTAGGGATGAGTTTTATAAAAAACTGTAAATGCTAATAATGAGTAACCATCAACATTTAATAGCATCAATCCTCTGTAATACACAAAACACCCTGCAAAATTTCAGATATTTTCAACAAAAAACATAAGTGTTATTAAGCTTCAAAGTGTGTGAACAAAATTGTGCCAACACACACATACATCCATACATACATACAGATAAAACCTTAAATTTTTTTGCATTTCTCAACATTTTCATGTACCTAATCCAAAAATGTAAAAACTCTGGGGAGTCATTTTTTGACTGATAGCTATACTTTCCCTCTGGCTATACACAGTATAATAGAGACAGGAAAGTAAAAAGTTACCAACATTAATATGTCATAAAAATGTAAAAATAATAACTTTTTAAGAAAAAATAGTTAGGATATTTTATCTTGACTGAAGAAACAAAAATTATAATATATAAATATCAAAAATAACAACTTTAAAGTAGATAAAAATATAATTTCAGTATATAAGATAAAACTAGTAATCAAGAAATAAGTAGCTCTGAAGATACACAGCAGATTTAACTAATTTCTAAGCTTAAAAAGTAAAAATAAAAAATATAAATTACATAAAGTATTTTACTGAAAATTTTTTAAGAAAACTGAAAATAGTATTTCATGAAAATAAATTTTTATCAATATTTATCTTTTTTTGCTATTCTATAAGAATAGCAAAAAAAAAA